CCTCCTCTTTGGTTATCTCTTGGGGTCATCTGAAAAGCTGCCAGAAGCTGGTAACTGCACACTAGTTTCAGACAAAAGTGGTTCCAGGATAGGTCCTCTTTTTCTGGTCTGCAGAGAAGGAAAGGGGGCTGGCTCCTTTGGGTCAGAGAGAGTAGGGAAAATCCCTTTTTTGTTTTTTTATTGCTTTGCTGTGTGTGTGTGTTCTGCCCACAGCGCAGGCAGCCCTGTAACAGTTGTGGTGGCCAGACAGATGCCTAACACTCTGGGTGTAGGAGGGGGAACCGCTTTTTGACCAGAGGCACTGTGGTCCCAAGAGTGAAGAGCATCATGGATATTCCTACTGCTCTTTTCCCTTTTTGTAGCCCAAGTTACAGATAGTCACAGGCAGCCTACTGCAGGTGGACAAACTAAAGCCTTGGGTTTGTAGCCAGAGGACCCAAGATTACGCGAAGGAGAGAGGTGAAGTAAGTGATCCCATAAAGATTTATATAAACGCCACTGAGCTGCTCCTATATAGATCTGGTCATAAACAGTATATTAAAGGCTTTTGAAAACTGATAGATCACCTTGCAGTCCCAGTCTGGCCAGTGGGTGACACAAAAGCAGGACAGATCTGAATACCATGTCAAGAGCTTTCATAACTAAACTGGAACCATAACATAACCCAGAGAAGCTGGATAAAAAACTTGAAGACTGAACCTAAGCATTCCAACTGCCTGCTAAAACTTTTAAAAATCAGCATGCTCCTCAGGATTTAAACAAGATTTAAAATTACATAACATCAAAATGTTCAGGATGCAATCATTAATTGCTCAATTTATGAATGAGAAGTTTTCAACATCCCTCAAAGGAAAAAGACAACCTCAAGGTGATTGTAGGTAAAGCTTTACAAACAGCTGTCCATAACCATTCTATAAGAAGAGTGAGCACTCTTAAAAGGAAAAGACAAAAAGGCTTAGAGAAATAGAAGATGGAACCGGACAATAACTACTGAAATAAAAAGTTTCCTGGGCAGGCTCTAGTATATTGGAGATGACAGAAGAGTGAGTGAACTTGAAGATAGATCAGTAGGAATTACCCATTCTGAACATTTTGAACACAGAAAAAAGATTGGGGGCAGCAAATAGTCCCACAGGTCCTAAACAGTAAAGGAGCATGTAACAATTTTAGATTTAAAGATTTTAAGGCTGTATGGGGCTCCTGACTGGCTCAGAGCATGCGACTTTTGATCTTGGTTGTGGGTTCAAGCCCCAGAGATTACTTTTTTTTTTTTTTTTTTTTTAAAGATTTTTATTTATTTGCCAGAGAGAGAGAGAGTACACACAAGCAGGCAGAGAGGCAGGCAGAGGCAGAGAGAGAAGCAGGCTCCCTGCCCAGCAAGGAGCCCGATGCGGGACTCGATCCCAGGAGCCCGGGATCATGACCTGAGCCGAAGGCAGCGGCTTAACCAACTGAGCCACCCAGGCGTCCCCCAGAGATTACTTTTAAAAATAACAAAAAACAAAAGTTTTTTTTGTTTGTTTGTTTGTTTTTAAAGATTTTATTTATTTATTCGACAGAGATCACAAGTAGGCAGAGAAGTAGGCGGGGGGGGGGGGGGGCAGGAAGCAGGCTTCCTGGTGAAGCAGAGAGCCCGATGCAGGGCTGGGCTGGATGCGGAGCTCAGTCCCAGGACCTTGGGATCATGACCTGAGCCGAAGACAGAGGCTTTAACCCCCTGAGCCACCCAGGCGCCCCTTTGCTTTCTTCTTTTATTGTAGATGTGAGATAAAGGATCCTAACTAAACTTTCTGTGGTAATCATTTCACAAAAGTGTAAGTCAAACCATTGTGCTGTGTACCTTAAGCTTAGAGTGGTGTATGTCAGTTATAAAATGGGGTGAAGGGGAGCGCCTGGGTGGCTCAGTGGGTTGAGCCGCTGCCTTTGGCTCGGGTCATGATCCCGGGCTCCTGGGTTCGAGCCCCGCATCGGGCTTTCTGCTTGGCAGGGAGCCTGCTTCCTCCTCTCTCTCTGCCTGCCTCTCTGCTTACTTGTGATTTCTCTCTGTCAAATAAATAAATAAAATCTTTAAAAAAAATGAATAAATAAAATGGGGTGAAGGAGTCTGCGTGAATAGTGAATATAACTGAGGAGGTAGCGTTTCCAGTGGGTGGAAGAGAATATTTGCAAGAGTGCTGAATTCTAGTGAGAAGTTATTAAGACCTGAATTAGATAAGCTCTAAAGAGAGACCCCGTAATTTTATTACTTACCTACGTATCCAGTGCTTAAATTCTTTCCATCAGGTAGGTAAATTTTGTATGCATTATGTAATTTAATCTTTATCAGTCATGTGAAGTAGGTTTTAATTGCCGGCCAGGTATGAAGAAACAAAGCCCAGAGACAATTAATTGCGAGAAATGTCACAAAGTTGGCCACCTGAGTGGCTCCGTCGGTTAAAGCGGCTGCCTTCAGCTCAGGTCATGATCACAGGGTCCTGGGATCGAGCCCCCCCTCACCAGGCTCCCTGCTCAGCGGGGAACCTGCTTCTCCCTTTCCCTTTCCTGCTCCCCTGGCTTTGCTCTCCATCTCACTCACTGTCAAATAAATAAATAGCATCTTTAAAAAAAAAAAAAAAAGAAAAGAAATGTCACAAAGCAGAAAAGCAATAGCTTCTTTTAGAGCCCCATTATTCCTTTTTTTTTTTTTTTTTTTTTCATTAAAGATATCATTTGTGGAACTGAAATACAGTGGGTTCTGAAATGTTCATACAGTAGTGAACTTTGAGTCTTAGAAATAGGAAAGGCCAAGCTATTGCATGACCACCTACAATAAGAGGATTAAAATAACAGTTCCTGTTGCTCAGAACTGCATCTTAATTGTAACTTTTTTTCTTCCTAAACAACAAATTGTATAATTTAAAAAACTTGAAACAGGGCGCCTGGGTGGCTCAGTCATTAAGCATCTGCCTTCAGCTCAGGTCATGTTCTGGGGTCCTGGGATCAAACCCCCCCCCATCGGGCTCCCTGCTTGGCAGGAAGCCTGCTTCTCCTTCTCCCACTCCCCCTGCTTGTGTTCCCTCTCTAGCTGTGTCTCTATCAGGTAAATAAAATCTTTAAAAAATTTTTGAAACAAACTGCCAAGATATGGCCCACTCTATTGTGTATTTTTTTTTCTTTTAAAGATTGTATTTATTTCTTTGAGAGAGAATGAGATAGGCTGAGAAGGGGGAGGATCGGAGGAAGAAGCAGACTTCTGGCAGAGCAAGGAGCCCAGTGTGGGACTAGATCCTGGGACTCCAGGATCATACCTGACCTGAAGGCAGTTGCCCAACCAACTGAGCCACCCAGGTACCCCAAATGTGTATCTTTTTCTTTAACATAAACAGTTGGCACCTTTTTAAAAGAGAGCTAATTATTAGCTCTCTTAAAAATTGCTTGGCAGGGGCTTTTGGGTGATTCAGTCAGTTAAGTGTGTGACTCTTGATTTTTGGCTCAGGTAATGATCTCAGGGTTGTGAGATCAAGCCCTATGTCAGGCTCCACACTCAGTGGGGAATCTGCTTGAAATCATTCTCACTCTTTCTCCCCCCTCTCCTCCCACTTTCCATCTCTTAAAAGTAAAAATAAATTTCAGTCTTTTTTTTTAGATTTTATTTATTTGACAGCACAAGCAGGGGGAGCTGGAGAGGGAAAAGCAGGCTCCCTGCTGAGCAGGGAATGGAGTGTAAGGCTCAATCCCAGGATCCTGGAATTACAACCTGAGCCAAAGGCATATGCTTAACCAACCACCCAGGTGCCCCAAAAATAAAAATAGATTTTAAAAACTCCTTGCTAGGGCGCCTGGGTGGCTCAGTGGGTTAAAGCCTCTGCCTTCAGCTCAGGTCATGATCCCAGAGTCCTGGGATCGAGCCCCGCATCGGGCTCCCTGCTCAGCGGGGAGGCTGCTTCCTCCTATCTCTCTGCCTGCTTCTCTGCCTACTTGTGATCTCTGTCTGTCAAATAAATAAATAAAAATTAAAAAAAAAAAATAAAAAAAAATAAAAACTCCTTGCTAAAGTTTTAGGCAAATAGGCTCTATAATCATTAGCAAGCCTAGGGCACCTGGGTGGCTCAGTTGGTTTGAGTGACTGCCTTCAGCACAGGTCATGATCCTGGAGTCCCAGGATCAGTCCCGCATTGTGCTCCTTCTAGCTCATCAGGGAGTCTGCTTCTCCCTCTGACCTACCCACCCCCCTTCATGTGCACTTGTGCGTGCGCTCTCTCTCAAATAAATAAATAAAATCTTGAAATCATTAGCAAGCCTAACTAATCTGTTTTTCCAGGTAGGTCTCCCTACTGTTCAATTTAACCAATTTACCCAACATAGGAATTATGGCTTTCTGTGATTAGTCATATAGTTTCTTTTAGAAAATGATGAAACAGGCACAAAATGCTAGCAGGATTGACTGGTACTATGCTTGTGGGGTTTTGTTTTTGTGTTTGTTTGTTTGTTTGTTTTGTTTTGTTTTTAATTTTATTTTTTTTAAGTTACCTTTATACCCAACATGGAGCTTGAATTCACAGCCCTGAGATAGTGTTGCATGCTCTACTGGCTGAGCCAGCCAGGTGTCCCTGTGCTTGATTTTTAATACAAAAGAATATTTGATAGACAAAAAAGACTCCTTTTGACTTACTTCTTCGCTTGCTTGTTGGTGAAAGATGATTGTCCTTGGTTTGTGGGCTTAAATTTCCTCTGTGCATGGCTTATTCATTTCGTCATTTGCTTTTTCTTAGTAAATTACAAGTACCTTAAAATTTCCAGTTTTCCATTTTGCTCTCTGTTAGTTGGTGGATATGTCAATATAGGAGGCTTTTGAAATAAAATTAAGTGTTACCCGGAAGCTGGAACAAAAATGTGACAACAAATATAAAATGCAGGGTGTAAATTGTGTTAGAACACCAAATTGTAAAAGCTTCACAATTTTTATTCAAGTAGGCAAGTACTGTTATGACTTAATCATCTTTTTTGTTGTTGAATAATAGATCTGAGTGGGACATTCTTCTGAAGGATGTGCAATGTTCAATCATAAGTGTGACAAAAACTGACAAGCAGGAAGCTTATGTACTCAGGTAAGTCCTGCCAAAACAGGTGTTAGCGACCTGATTTCAGTCTGAATCATACTTTGCATGGAATAGCAAATTGTTCTTCTGGATCCTAGTACTATAATCATTTTTACCTTACTTTGAGAAATAATAGTATAAAACAAAATGTTCAGTTTAAATGTCTGCAGTGTATAGGAGAAGAAAGCCATTCAACATGTTTATAGGTACAAAGCTAATTTATCCAATAAAAGCATTGGGTTTTTTTGTTTGCTTGTTTTATTTTTTTTATGTGAAAGGGGGTACACAAGCAAGGGGGTGGGGGCAGAGGGAGAGGGAGAAGCAGACTCCCCCCCGCTTATCAGGGAGCCCGACGCAGGGCTCCATCCCAGGACCCTGAGATCATGACCTGAGCTGAAGGCAGACACTTAACCAATGGAGCCACCCAGGCACCCCAGTAAAAACATTTGTTTCTTATACATATTATAATGGGCCTTGCAGGTACGGTATTTAACATGGTTGCATAAAGTGCCTGGTTAATTACTAAGCTTATGATGTGCCAGGCCCTAGGAATATAATGGTGAGTAAAAACAAATTTCTTTCCTCATGGAGTTTATTATCTAGTAAAAGAAGTAATGTTTACAGAAATACTTGTGAGAGTCCGTGCTACAAGCTGAAGTAAAGTATGACTTCAGTAAATAATAATGCTAAGATAGGTGAGGTGAGGAGGAAAGTTTAGTAGTAGAAGAGGGTTTGTGTAATGAACTAGTATGTTTTATGCCTAATACAAGGCCTTTCTGTGGGTTCCGTTTGGAGTTCTCTATAATAGAGAGGAATACTATAGTGCCTTTCTTTGCTTCCTTCAGATCTTCACATTTAAAACTAATAGCCAGATTTTACATCGTAAATAATAATAGATTAATTGCATCTCAGTAATACATAAACCTCATTATAACCTTGTGACTTTTTCCAAATGCAGTGAGAGTAGCATGTTTGTCTCCAAGAGACGTTTCATTTTGAAGACATGTGGTACCACCCTCTTGCTGAAAGCACTGGTTCCCCTGTTGAAACTTGCTAGGGATTACAGTGGGTTCGATTCAATTCAAGTAAGTAACCAAACACCTAATCTTTTTTTTTTTTTCCCCTCCAGGCAAACATTAGGGCTCTGTGATACGCATATGCCTAGTAAATAAATTTGTATATTTACTGCTTAGTTGTAACGGATAATCACTGACTCTCCAAACTAAATGTACACATGTTCTCAGATTATTGCTTCCATTCCTGTTTAAAATTAAGCTCAGAGCTTAAATAACTGCTCCAGAAATAATTAATGTACCTTGTCTCTACAGTTGTTGTGACCATCATGAGTAGATTGGTATTTTTTTAGTTTCCAGAAACTCACAGATGGGATCTGCATTTTTAATGCTTTCTTGAGATTCTTCTCCACAGCTTAAAGTTGCCCTGTGTAACACTCTCTCATGGATGTTGGTCTGGAACCTTGCTCTGATGCAGTGGCCTTCATTTTTTGTTTATTGGCCAGCAAAAGACCACTTACCTTTTAAACATATTAAAGGGAAAATATGTTAAATTTCATTGGAGGAAATATTGATAGATTTGATTTTGGTATACATGTGCAAAAAATTGTTGACTAGGAAAGGTGATAGAATCCTACATATAAAGTTATTTGTCTTTTTCAGAGCTTCTTTTATTCTCGTAAGAATTTCATGAAGCCGTCTCACCAAGGGTACCCACACCGGAATTTCCAGGAAGAAATAGAGTTTCTTAATGCAATTTTCCCAAGTGAGTTTAAATAGAATTGAAACCGTTTCCTTAGAAGGTCTGTCCTTTCAGAGATCTTTTTATATATGTGAAAGCATGTGAATGCAAATATGGTGGGTTATAATTAAGATAAAAATATCAGTAAAGATTATAAATTTTAGAATGTGCATGCACATCAGGTCATTAGTTTTGAAAAGATGATGACTTGGCGGAGGGAGGGATCATCTTTGTCTAGCCACTTGCTCTAATTTATATCTTAGTGGTTTGTTCCCTTCATCCAGAACAATGCATAGTGTCTTCATACAAACTCATGCTAAGATGCTGGTCCATGTTAAGAAACTCTGGCCTGCCATTCTATTCAGGAATTGAGCTGGCTTAATGATCAACACAGTGAGATCATAGTGTCTCTTCAAACAAATTGGCAAGATTTTCTTCCATTTACTAAGCTTTTATTTATAGATCTTCTCTTTTTGAGCTTCAAGGTCAGGGAACTAAAGGTTATCTAATCTAACACCCTTAACACCCTTATATCCTAGATGTGGCTGAAAACCTAGGATGATTTTACTAACTTCGCACAAAACCACTGATGGGCAGGATTTAAGATTTCCGTCCCCTCCTCCCTCACAGGCATGGAAAAGAAAGTCCGATTTTTATCCTATTCTTACCCACTAATAAGATATTACACAAGGCTGTGTCAGTGATGAGTATAATTTAGTATAAATATCTCCCAGTTAATTTATTGTGTTGAGTGAGGCTTTGGAACAAAAATATGGAAAGAATGTATTACATAAAATTATTTGTACTTACTTGGGAATGTAGATAAATGGGTGATCAAATTCCATTTCCTTAATGGCGTTTTAGGGGAGAGTGAGCCATAGTTTTCTCAGCACTCAGACTAATGCACTAGCTGAAATATGTCTCTGAATAACGGTAAAATAAATAGTCTAGTGAACTGTTTTTTTAAGGGATGACAGAGGGCATTCTGCCTACTTGTGAACTCACTTCCCTTCACTGATAACATTTCTGATAGGAGGCAAGCACTATCACCCTAACCAGTGGAAGGGTGGGGGCAAAGCTATTCTACCAAATGGAGCTGTTAAATTACTTTTCACTCTCTCCCTCAACAGATGGAGCAGCATATTGTATGGGACGTATGAATTCTGACTGTTGGTATGTTGGACACAGTTTTATGGATTTTTTTTTTCTTTGTCTCTATAGAATTTATCTTAAATTGCCATTTGTCCTTTTTAGAAACTACTTTTTACTTCTGTATAGGTACTTGTATACTTTGGATTTCCCAGAGACTCGGGTAATCAGTCAGCCAGATCAAACCCTGGAAATTCTGATGAGTGAGCTTGACCCAGCAGTTATGGACCAGTTCTACATGAAAGATGGTGTTACTGCAAAGGATGTCACTCGTGTAAGCAGTTTCAAGAATAATTCTGGATCCTTCCTGGGGACTAAATATTTTAACTCATTCTCATTTTTCAAATTTCAAATTTTCAAATTCACTCTTTCTTTTCCCAGGAGAGTGGAATTCGTGACCTGATACCAGGTTCTGTCATTGATGCCACACTTTTCAATCCTTGTGGGTATTCGATGAATGGAATGAAATCAGATGTAAGTGATATTTTTCTTAATAATTATTAAATATTTAAGAGTATCCATTCTATTATTAACATAAAACTGTTTCTTTAAGGGAACTTATTGGACTATTCACATCACTCCAGAACCAGAATTTTCTTATGTTAGCTTTGAAACAAACTTAAGTCAGACCTCCTATGATGACCTGATCAGGAAAGTTGTGGAAGTCTTCAAGCCAGGAAAATTTGTGACCACCCTGTTTGTAAATCAGGTAATTTGTTTTATTATTGACAATAAAATCTTTCAGGAAATAAGGATAGTCATGTTATCAAATGTATTCTAAGATGGCATATATAAGATATCTAGAAGTACTACTGTTAAGGTTACTGGTAGAGGAGATGCTTTGTATCTTTGATTAGACTTGGTCCTTACTTTATATGTAGCCCAGTTGATGGGTTCCTTCTGTCTTGTTTTTCCTGTAGATAGATGGACAGGTCGGGGGATAACATAAGATATCTCACTCCATCCACCCATGAGACAGCTGAAATACTCAAATGCCACAGTTTTTCTTCAGACAGTAGTCTTAAATACTTACTAAGTGACTGTTTTGTTTGAAAATATCTGTTCAGATTGGAAACACTAATGCTTTATTTAATTTTCTCCCCAGAGTTCTAAATGTCGCACAGTGCTTTCTTCACCCCAGAAGATTGACGGCTTTAAACGTCTTGATTGCCAGAGCGCTATGTTCAATGATTACAATTTTGTTTTTACCAGTTTTGCTAAGAAGCAGCAACAACAGCAGAGTTGATTAATAAAAATGAAGAAAAAACGCAAAAAGAGAACACACATAGAAGGAGGTGGTGGCTGCTTTTTAGATATTGATATCGGGGGCCATGCTTTCCATAACCACCACCTTGTAGCTACAGAAAGCCCTAGATGTAATGATAGTGTAATCATTTTGAATTGTATGCATTATTATATCAAGGAGTTAGATATCTTGCATGAATGCTCTCTTCTGTGTTTAGGTATCCTATGCCACTCTTGCTGTGAAATTGAAGTGCATGTAGAAAAAAACTTTTACTATATGAAACTTTACCACACTTGTGAAAACAATTCAATTTGGTTTACGCACAGTGTAATATTTCTCCAGGTATCATCCAAAATTCCCCACAGACAAGGCTTTCGTCCTCATTAGGTGTTGGCCTCAGCCTAATCGTCTGGGACTGTTCTATTAAACTGCTGCCAGGATTTTACGTCCAGTTACCTCCACTTTCTAGAACATACTCTCTACTAATATTACTGAAACCAGTTTCTATTTCATACAGATGTTTTTTGCAACAGCGATTAAAGTTTATCTTCCACGAGTCAAGTCCTCTTAAGAAAATGATTGCAGTTTTCCATTTTGTGTCTTACTATTTTGACATTATTGCTTCCTGTACCTGTACTTCCTTTAATTGATTTTGTTCTCATCATGGTGTCTTGCCTCCCAAACACCCCTCCCCCCCAATAAAGCAATACACTGTTACACTGTGGGTTTATACTAATCTTATACCCGGGAGGGGGAAGGGAGAGTGGACCCTGGGCTTAATTTTCTTTTTAAAGTCAAGCGAGTTTGGCCTCCTTTTATATTGACATGGGCTCTTCTGGGAGATAGTGACAAACCTGTTGTTGTTGAGCAAGGAAGACACGTACGTTTATATTAGGGTATACTGGCAGAACTGTTCCAGAAACTGCCATTCTCTGTTCCCATTAAATGAGATTAGCTTCTCATGAGTACCATGCGTTTAGTAACTTGCTAGTAAGTACTTGTATAATTTTACCACTTAAGTCTATTAGCAAGGAAATTAAGAATAAAGGTTGTATTTACAGGATTTAATAAGTCAGCTCAGATGATTTCACCTTAACTTTTACTTTAGTAGCTATCTCCAGTCATCTTCATTCATACTATACCATAAACTTTGGTTGAAAATGGAGTCCTTGTCCTCTTGTGACTTAAAGTTCTTGGACTTTGTAATGCATTATGATAGTGTTCTGACTTGAACTGTTTCTCTTCCTGGTGTTGCTTTCACCATGATTTCATAGCATCAGGTGAAACTTCCCCAGAACGAGACCCATTCAGGTTATTCAGACATACACAATGGAGCAGAATGCTGTCCGGAAGACAAAATTCCAAACTGGTCAATGGGAAATGACTAGAAATAAAGGCTTTGAGGAGTTGGCATCTTTTAGCTATATTTGCAATACGAGATTTGAGCAGCTGAGAAAACAGCAAAGTTGACTAAATTTTTTATATTCTTGTCCTCACAAAAATTTTTTTGATTCTTTCTGGATTGATGCAGTGATGTTTTTGTTCCTTCTGTATTTATAAATGAAACACTTTTTTTAGTGTTTCTAAACATAAAATCTACTTGGTTTGAAATCAAGTGGTTGGAACACAAATTTTGACTTTTATTTTAAGCATGTTAATTCGAAGTTTCATTGAAGAAACTTTCAGTCAGTGGATCAGTTTGATTCTGTAATTAGCACACGGTACCTGATGTTTTGGTACTGTTTTGAGGACCAATGCTCAAAGTGGATTTTGTTCTTGAACAGTGTCCCAGTAGATTTGATGACATTTGTTGGCTTGAGGTCTGATTTTTTTTTTTTCTCCTAATAGATCTCTATCTAATGTTGAAAAACTGCACAAATTTGTATGGAATAAAGCCTAGAAAAATTAAAACTATAGATTAAATAGTAATTGAAATTAATCCTAGTGTGTATGATAGAAGAGGGAAAATTTTGGTGCCATTATTTCTCTCTTCATGGTGTTGGACTTAAATCAGTTGAAATGTATTTCTGTACCACAATTTAAGCTTCAATAAAACTTTGCTTAATTCATTGTCCAGTGACATTCAGAAAGTTTTCTGTTGTCTAGTATTTGGTCATGTATACTATTTTAAAAATACATCTAGTTTTTGTGATTTGAGGAAATTTATATTTAATGGTTATTTTCTAACATTTGGGAGAGTAATCATGAAGACATAAGATCTTTAAGCTCCTGGGAGAATAATTTATACTCAGATTTAAGCATTTTTGTTAGGGGTTTCATAACTGAAGCTTAAAAGAAATAGCTGGGTTCTATATGTATACTGGATATCAAAGAGTAGGAAGAGTAAGTAGTAAGACTAAGAAAGTGTGTTTGTGAGTTGGGAGTTAAACCAAAAGTTGGGAGGTAAAGTGTTCAACCTTTATTGAGGAATAGACGCGTACTGGTGGCAGCGGGGAGGAAAAAGTTGTAAACACACTTTATTTCATTCACCGGTATTTCTGTTAACTAGAACAGAGTTAAAACCTTGATGATTTTTTGCCATGTTAGGTACATATCTCATTTATTTGGCAAAATTTTTGTTAAGTTTCATGGTCTACAATAATCTGAAAGTCGGAGTCTTATAAAAATGTATACTCAAATCTTTCCCAGGAAAAGCAGATTAGAGAATATTTTCTATGATGTGAGTGAAAAAGGATGGGTCCTAGAAAAGTAAAATGTCACATAGCATAATACTGTCAACACCAGGTTCTTTTACAGGAACAGTTAAGTGACGAGATTCAGATATCTGAGTCGCAGATGCAGTATTACACTATGAAAGGTAAAGGACCTTACTTGCATTGTCCTGGCCAAATAACTCCAATTCCTGACTCCCCACCTTCAGACTAGAGGTTTTCTCCCCCACTCCTTTTTTCTTGTTAAAATGGAAAACTGTTCTTCGGAGTCTATCCCTTCTACTGTGAGAGATTTTGTAACTGACCTCTGCAGGGATTAGCTAGTACCTGAGAAAATAGATGAGATTTGTAATTAAACATTTCATTTGGAGAGTATTTAAAATAGTACATTGAATCTTCATATCCTACCTTAAACTGTCCTCAGTCATGCTCTGTTAGATCCATCTATCTACTGTACATCTTTTTTAGGGAAGATTTACAAAGTTGAATATGCAAATCTTAACTACAGTTCCAGAAAGTGGATACATTTCTTAGTGCACAGCCATATTGGGACAAAAGTCTAATTCGGCAACTCAGTCTACTTCCACCCCCTAGCTAACTACTTTTCCAATTTTTTTCACCATAGCATGGGGTCCCACTGGGGACCCTGCCCCACTTAAACTTTACATTAATTGAATCAAGGTATATACTCAAAGAGCTTTTCATTGGATATGAGGTTTTTGAGAGGTTAAACCCTGTATTCCTTTTGCCAAGTAGGAGCCGTTGTATATGAATGTACTATAGTGTGTTTATCCATCCTGTTAAACATTTTATTGGTTTCCAATTTTGGGGAAACATGAATAAAGCTGCTATGAACATTTGTATACAAGTGTTTTTGTGGCTTCTGGATGTGTAGTGGTACCTTGTGTTAAATCTGTTTGTTTCTGTGAGTAATGAATATGTTCTCATATCTTTATCCACCGTTAGTGGACTTTGAAAGTGTTAAGTACATTTAAATTAGGTTGGCTGTTTTGCACACAAGTTCCTTATTTAGTGTTCTGCAAATGTTTTATAGTCTTCTCTCTTCATTTTCCTAAGAGCGACTTGATAAGTTCTTAATCTCAAGTCTTGATTTACCAACATTTTTAATGGATCTTTTCCTGTCAATAAATCTGTCTAGCCTCACATTTTGGTAGTGGTGGTATTGTTTTCTTGTGAAAGCCTCAATTTTTGGCTTTCACATCTGTCCTCCATCTCCGGTTTCTGTGTGTGCGGTGAGGTAGGGAATGAAATTTGTTTTCACCCCTGTGATTGTGCGGTTACTCTGGCACCATTTGTACTGTTTCCATTGAATTACTTTTGGTGCCTTTTAAATTCATTTGATCAGATCTTGACTGCTTTGACTATTTCATGATTACCTGTATTTCTGTGTAAATATTAAAACAAGCCTGTTGGGGTTTTTTGGGGTTGTTTGTTTTGGCAAGCTCTACACCTGAGGTGGGGCTTAAACTCCCAACCCCCAAGATCATGAGTCCCATCTTCCACCAACTGGACTAGTCAGGTACCCTTCAGTTTCCATTATTAAAGAGCCTGGGTGGCACAGTCTCTTGAGCATCTGACTCTTGGTTTTGGCTCTGGTCATAATCTTGGGGCTGTGGGATCAAGCCTGTGTCAGGCTCCAGGCTGATAACAAGGTCTGCTGGAGTTTCTCCCTGGTGCTCTGCCCCTCTCCCCCAATAAATCTTTTAAAAATAAAGAACCTGATTATATCATTGGGATTGGATAGAATCCATTATAATTTTCTCAAATGTTTTGTGTGCTGTTCTGTATGATTTGATGAACTCAAGTATTTTAGGTTCACTGATGGTAGTGTCAATTGAATTTTCTTTACAGTTGCTAACTTGTAATTTATAATTTTTAAAGTTTTTTTATAGGACCTTGCCAAGCTCTTTAGAATACATTGGTTAGGACCTCTAAAACCTGTTGAATATAGGTGGTCAGAGCAGACCAGCTAAGGTGAGGTTGAGACACCTAGGGAGCAGAATTCACAGAGGTACTCTGCAACCTAGCCCAAGTTGGCATTTAAGGGTACATCGTGGGTGGTTGGGTGATGGACATTGGGGAGGGTATGTGCTGTGGTGCTTGCTGTGAAATGTGTAAGCCTCACGATTCACAGACCTGTACCCCTGGGGCAAATAATACATTATATGTTAATAAAAATAATTTTTAAAAGGGTACATCCTTTCCCTTTTGTCAACGAGGGTTTGGCTTGCATGAGGCTTACCCTAGTCTCCTATGAAAGTCACCTGCTTGTTGCGATTTTAGGAAAGAAACCCTACGTATTCCATCAGGAATGTTCGCTGTTGGTTTCTATGTATAGATACCTTTTTACAAAGCTTCCTGTTAATAGTTTGCTCATCTTCTCAGGAACGGGTGATGTATTTTATCAGACCTCCTCTCCCCCTTTTGGCACACATGAAATGATCCTGTCTTTAAATCTGTCAATATTCCTATTCTTGGGGGAGTTTAGTAATAGAATTCTATGACTGAAGCAAGCTCCCAAACACTTTGCCCAAGGTTTCACAAGTAGAAATAAGCATTCAGATTCACTTCCTCCCACCCCCTGCCCGTTTTAAAAGTAGGCTCCACACCCAATGTGGGGCTCAAACTCAACCTAGAAGTCAAGTCACTCTACTGACTGAGCCAGCAAGGCACCCCTTCCGACTCATTAATCATCGTGTGGTCTCAGCTAAGTCTTTTTAATAAAATGTTTCCTTTTCACGGCTGCCCTAAAAGTTGGGAATTCATTCAGTTATTTCACAGTCTTTATTTACAACTCGGTTCCCCACCCTTAATAGCACATTTGCCTATTTAGTGGTCATCTTCAGCATTTGGTAGTAAGTTGAGGTAACCCCTGGAAGTTAAAGCATTCATTAACCTCTTGATGTCCTTGACCCCGGTTCTCTGAAGTGGTTTCCTGGTACCTCCTCAACTGTCTGACCAGCCTGATCATTTTGCAGGGACTCAAAGCCTTCAAAATGAGGTGAAATAATGAAATCTTAACACTGGCAAGGCTTTCTGAAAATAACACTAACTCAATGATGGTAGTCTGAATAATAGTTCTTAAGGAGAATAATCTGTCAGTCTATTTTCAGGTTTTTTGGGTTTTTTTTTTAAGATTTTATTTATTTGACAGAGATCACGAGTAGGCAGAGAGGCAGGCAGAGACGGGGGGGTGGGGGGAGAAGCAGGCTCCCTGCTGAGCAGAGAGCCTGATGCGGGACTCGATCACAGGACCCTGAGATGATGACCTGAGCCAAAGGCAGAGGCTTAACCCACTGAGCCACCCAGGCGCCCCTCTATTTTCAGTTTTGAGAAAATTTTTCCAAAATGTGTTTATAGTCCTACAAAATTGCGTGTAAAAACAACCTGGATGTCAAAAATTAGAGTGCTGGTTTGTTCATTTGGGCATGTCTATGTGACTGCGTTCAATTTTTTAAGGGGCACCTGGGTGGCTCAGTTAAGCATCTGTCTTGGTTTTGGCTCAGGAAGTGATCTCAGGGTCCTGAGATAGATGGGCTCGCCAGGGAGTCTGCTTGGGATTCTCTCCCTCTGCCCCTCCCACCTCCTCATTCTTGAAATAAATCTTTAAATAAAAATATGGGGCGCCTGGGTGGCTCAGTGGGTTAAGCCGCTGCCTTCGGCTCAGGTCATGATCTCAGGGTCCTGGGATCGAGTCCCGCATCCGGCTCTCTGCTCAGCAGGGAGCCTGCTTCCCTCTCTCTCTCTGCCTGCTTCTCTGTCTACTTGTGATCTCTCTCTGTCAAATAAATAAATAAAATCTTTAAAAAATAAATAAATAAAAATATGTTCACTGTACAAGTAAAACTGATGTTAAGCCAAAAATTTAGAGTATGAATTAAAAGCTGGCCATAATGCTAGATGCTGAGAATACACAAATGAATGAACCATCATCCTCCCCCTACCCCCTTGAGGGTCTCATTCTTAGAGAGGAGGAAGATGCGTAAATAGAGGTATGATGGAAGAGCATAGAACAGAGTCTGCCTCTTCCCTGGGAAGGTTGGGAAAGATTTAGTAGAAATCTTACTTTTTCCCAGTTGTGGGAATTACCAAAAAGCAAGGACAGATCTTTCAGAGGGAGAAGGTGAATTGGTCTAGAAATCGCAATAATCTGCCTGGAGAAGCTGAATGGGCAGAGGAGGAGAGGTGGTTGAGATGGCGGTGAATGCTGTGGTAATAAACCCAGATTTCCTACCCCCCCCCAATCAATCCCCTGCTCCCAGGACCAACACATTAATTTCCCTTACTTCCCAGGAATATTGGCTACTGACAGCTCACACCTGAGCCCTCTCAAACACCTCTATGATGAACATATTTGAAGAAGCAATGTGGGTGGGG